TAAAGACGAGGCTATTTATATAATTAAGAAATATTAACAGTAAATTTTCTAATATATAGTAAAATAATATTAATATACTTATCTATAATAATATTTTATTAAAAATGAGGCTATTTATATAATTAAGAAATATAACAGTAAATTTTATAATATATATAGTATTTATTTATAATAATATTTTATTAAAAATGAAACATATGTAAATGTGGAGGACTATTTGATAAATAAAAAAGTTCAACTCCATTTTGGAGTAATGAGTTGGTTTACTCCATATTTGGAGTAATCATGTTTGTTACTCCATTTTGGAGTGAGTTTTAAAGTAGGGTTGGAGATGATTTTACTGCAAAATGGAGTTTGGAGTGGGTTTTAGAGTGGGGTTGGAGATGCTCTTAGAGTGGGGTTAGAGCATCTCCAACCCCACTCCAAAACCCACTCCAAACTCCATTTTACAGTAAAATCATCTCCAACCCTACTCCAAAACTCACTCCAAAATGGAGTAACAAACATGATTACTCCAAATATGGAGTAAACCAACTCATTACTCCAAAATGGAGTTGAACTTTTTTATTTATCAAATAGTCCTCCACATTTATATATATTTCATTTTTAATAAAATATTATTATAAATAAGTACTATATATATTATAAAATTTACTATTATATTTCTTAATTATATAAATAGCCTCATTTTTAATAAAATATTATTATAGATAAGTATATTAATATTATTTTACTATATATTAGAAAATTTACTGTTAATATTTCTTAATTATATAAATAGCCTCGTCTTTAATAAAAATATTATTATAAATAAGTATATTACTATTATTTTACTATATATATTATAAAATTACTGTTAATATTTTTTAATTATATAAATAACCATCTGATGAACTCTTTTATACAACATAATATATATAATATAAAACATAAAAGATCATACATATAGAAAATGAAAGATAAGCACCTTACAAAAGAAATAACATAAAATAAAACTTACAACAAATATAATTGCTTAATAATCCGATAAATCATTTTCGGATCCATTAAAATTATTAAAATAATCCGATAAAATATTATTAAATTCTTACATAACATGATAATAGAAGATGATTGTGATCTCGAGATGCCAATTGAAGTTGAAAGAGAAGTCATGTCCAGGAAAATTGAAATTGAAGAAAATAATAATGTGAGGTTCCAAAAGTTTCTTTCCCATTTCAGAGAAATCAAAGATAAAGAAGCTCATTTTTTACTTCGAAATGCATTAGTTGATCATTTGTGGGAAAATTATTATAATTCTCATGAATAATTTAAATTGATGTTTTATTGTGTTTAAGCTATATAATGTAATTTTTAATATATTAAATGTATTCTTTTAAAACCTTGTTGAGTAGTTTTATTTATATAATAAAAATTTAATTGTGGTTAATATTGTATTTAATAGAAATGCTATAAATTTAAAATGGATTGTTTTGCAAATAGTATAAATGAAAGGTGATATTCCTAATTTTGAAATAAATATAATATTAAAAAGTATTCTTTTGGAGTAGAAAATGGAGTAATACATTGGAGTAAAACTCAACTGCATTTTGGAGTTACTCCATTTTAGAGTAAAAAATGGAGTAATACATTGGAGATGCTCTAAGATATCATTAGTCAGGAATCATGATTCAATGTTCGTTCTCTGAACCTGAGCCTTTTTAATGTGTAAGCATTATTGCAGTGTTTTTTAAAAAAAATTAGATGGATAACTATGAAGATAATGATTATGGTTATTATTCCCAAGCAAGATTTGGTTAGATTTTTCTCGATACTAGTACTAATTATAGAGACATTGCAAGAGACAAATCTGTCTAATATTCTGCGTAACATTTAGTTTTCCGTGGTGTTGTCTTCTAATAAGGGACACCAAGATATGAAAGAATAAAATCATTCACGGTCACAGAAACTTCATAACAAAGTTATGAAATTCTGATTCGAACATTTATGTTTTTCATTATTTTAGAGCTCTAAATGCATAACTTCTCTAATATATACTCTCTCTATTTCTTTATAAATGTCATTTTAATTTTTTACACATAGATTAAAAAATAATTAATTTTGTATATTTTATATATAGAAACATAATAACCTATACAAGTAATCATATTTCAACCAGTAAGAAAATAAATTCTATAATAAAATTAATAAAATTTGTATTAAAAATTACAAACAACATTTATTTTATAACGAAAAAAATTATATTGAAACACTTAATATGAAATGGAGAGAATACAATTTTGATTCAATAGTATTAGATACCTGATAAGTCAAAATTCAAATAGAGATGAAAAAATTAACAAGATTATCAAATCAAAGATGTGCTAAAAAAAACCACATTAGTATTAAAGGTAAACTTACTACACATTTGGTAAACTTTGACCAAACTAATCGCTACCCGATCATCCATGTTTTTTATACGAAAATCTTGTATTGTCAACATCTTGAAATCAAACTTTTAAGAGCGTTTGCATAAAAGCAATAAAAAATCAGACTGGCCCGGCCTTGCTTATAAAAGCATCTTGGGGTATTAATTTTATTTTTGTTAATTTTTATATTAAAGGAAATTTTTGTCAAAATTAATTGTATTACATCAAGTTTTTTTGTGTGTGTATTAACAATTTATTGTATCAAAAATATTGGGTATCATACAAACAAATCTAACATGTAGACGATATTTGAGAAGTAAGAGTTAATATGGTATACAAAAAAAATGATAAATTAGTTATAACATTTCTAAGAAAAAACCTGATGTTCAAATTATATAAAATTTTTAATATATAAAACATTTGGATTGAAATTTTTAAAATAGAAAATGAAGTATCAATTAAATGGTTACAAATTACTTATGGGTTTAATTTTGACAGAAGAATACCAAAAAGTTTGTTGTTTGATCCGCGCAAGTGTTTGTTTATATATATTTTATAAGTGATAATATATATTTCTAAATTTACCCTTTTAAATAATTTTTTAAAACGATATTTAAAACACACAATTTTATAGTTTATATTGAGTAATTTTATTTTATCTTATAAACTATCATTGTGTCATACTTATTTTAAAAATATGACCCGTATATCTGCACAAATGTTTATATTTTATTTTTATGGATCAAAATTTTATGATAATGTATAACTAAATTGTTGTATCTACTATTTAAAATATATGGTCCTATATATTTCTACTTTTTAACTTTTATTATTCTGAATTTACCTTGAACTATTATTTATATAAAAATATACATAACATAATATGTTTATATTAGTCTATGTATTATATATTATATAAATGTTTCTTTTTGTGACTTTTATTTTAGTTATCACTTATAAATAATAATAATATAATTATATATCTTTGAAAACAATATTGTTCATTAACTATTTAATGATATGTAGATAATTAATAAGAAAAAATCCTAAAAGATAGGTTAATTAATATTGGAATTAATTATTATGTATATGGAATTAGTAAAACAATTTCTATATAATTTATTTATTTAATTACGAAAGGTGTATATGAAAATAATTATTTTCATTAATTATTGTTGATATAATTTTTTTTTGTTAAAATTTGATTTTGGAAATACATTAATTAAAGTGAAAAGACAGAATCCTATAAGATAGGGTAATTAATAACTTCAGTGGCATAACATTGTAAATAATTAGAAAAACTCAGGGGTATTTTATAAATATACTTCTATTTTAATAATATAGATAAGAAATCAGATTGGACCGGCCTTGCTTTCCACCTTACATTTCTTATTAATATACTCCTCTTTTGTTCTATATTTCATGTTATTTGTTTTGATAGAAAAATAAAAGTAAAGTCTAGAGTAATTTCTACCTACCAGAGCTCACCAAAATTCTAAAGAAAAATATCAGACATATTTTTCCATGATCAGAATAAAATAACTTAAAAGCCACTTGCAGGAGGAGAAAAGTGGCAGAAAACTTGCACAAATAAACAAAAGAAAACTCCTCCTTTACTTTACTCTTCTATATAAAACGGCAGACGATTTTATTATCTTCTACGACATTTCCTTTTCCGTGTCCGTGGCAACAACGACAACACCTAACGAATTGACGATTATACCCTTGACCAAGCTTCCAAGAAGAAACCCAACAAGAAAAAAACAATTTCCAAGACACGGACTTGAACTACTTTCACCAGTTGGCTTCCAATAAAGCTGCGTCGTTCTTTCTCGGAAGTCACTAAACCTCTTCCTTTATATACTCTCAATCTCAAAGCAAATAACACAAAGAAAGAAACTTCTAATAACAAATCCTCTCAGACAACAACAATCTTTACAGTTTCAGCTCTAAAATGGCATCTCCAAAGTCACCAACCAGACCGACCCAACAACAAAACACAGAACCCACTTTCCACGATTTCCTTCCAGCCATGGCCGGGAAGCTAGGAGGAGAAGGTCTGATCGGAGAGCTCTGCAACGGGTTCGAGCTGTTGATGGATAGAGAGAAAGGTGTCATTACTTTCGATAGTCTCCGGCGTAACGCTGCTTCTGTGCTGGGTCTAGGAGATTTGACGGACGAAGACGTAAGGTCTATGATCAAAGAAGGAGACTGCGACTGCGACGGGGCGTTGAACCAGATGGAGTTCTGTGTGTTGATGTTTAGGCTTAGTCCTGACTTGATGGAGGCGTCGAGGTGTCTTGTCACGGAAGCTATCGAGGAGGAATACGGCCGGCATTGATACCGGAGAGAAAGGAAACACTTTACCCTTTGATTTTAACTGATTCTTTTGTTACTTTTCACATTTACTTTTTTTACTCATGTAACCATCATTCATAAAATTCATGGAATTATACGTAGAAATTGGATAAAGAACTTTGAAAACACACAGTTCGTATATTCATAGCTCAATGTTTCCATTGGTGTGCAAATCTTTTGCAAATAAAAAAAGAAGACCTATGAGAGGAGGATCAATTCAATCCAATCCAAACTCAAAATTAAAACTACAGTGGTTTGTTTATAAGCACAAAACAGAATAAAGGGGGTGAAATATAAATAGATCAATTTACGAGGGGCTAACCTTGAACTTCTACAAAGAGAATAGTAAAAGACTTTGGGACTTTATTTTGTTGGAGAGCTTCTCGATGTTTACCGGAAACAAAGAAAAATCAAAACTTTTCAGAGATTGAAGGACACACTTTTTTTCAATGGCGACCAAAGTTTATATCGTGTATGTAAAACAAACGAAATGATCTGTGTCACTGTGTAGATATATCTGTTGGATCATCAAATAATAGATCGGTCAATTACGTTTCTCGTTGAATAGTTTTCCATTATTTGTGGATTTAAAATTGTAAGCTGCGATTTAGGAACCCTGTGTCTGTAGAACATCGATGAATACTCTTGTGATGGGTTTAGGATTTGAAATGGAGATACATTCAGTGGTCGTTGACTAAAAGTGTGTAACAGGTACTACTCAATGTACGGACATGTGGAGAAACTAGCTCAAGAGATTAGGAAAGGTGCTGCTTCTGTTGATGGCGTCGATGCCAAACTCTGGCAGGTGAGTCTCTTTTAAAGACAGGGTTTAGAACTGACTATTAAAATATTTGAAACAGAGTTGGAGTTGGAGTTGAAGTTGGAAACTAGTTCTTATATGTCTGAAAGGAAAGGGGATTATATTTCTAGATTTTAATTTACTGGTGAATGTCTTTTACCTGCCACCATTCTTAAGGCTATGATATCATCTTTTGAATTATTAAACACTTTTTTTATCTCACTGAAAGCATGTTTTCAGTTACCTTAAATTTAACTTGCATATCTGCTTGAGTATCTATCCTCTCAAAGAAAGAAGAATACATTTTTTACTGAAGCATCGGCGGTTGTTGTTGACAGGTACCAGAGACGCTCCAAGAAGATGTGCTCTCTAAAATGAGTGCACCACCAAAGAGTGATGCTCTAATTATCACCCCCAGCGATCTTGCGGAGGCTGATGGCTTTGTCTTTGGCTTCCCAACAAGGTTTGGTATGATGGCTGCTCAGTTCAAGGCATTCTTAGATGCAACTGGTGGCCTTTGGAGGACTCAGCAACTCGCTGGTAAGCCAGCCGGGATCTTCTACAGCACAGGGTCTCAAGGTGGTGGTCAAGAAACCACCGCGTAAGTTTCTTTTCTCAATCCAAAACAAAACTCATCACTGAGACAAACTTGTTTGAAAACAATGTGTTGTCTGTGTAGATTAACTGCCATTACTCAGCTGGTTCATCACGGTATGATATTTGTACCGATTGGCTACACGTTTGGTGCTGGTATGTTTGAGATGGAGAAGGTGAAAGGTGGAAGCCCGTACGGTGCGGGGACATATGCGGGAGATGGGTCGAGACAGCCAACGGAGTTGGAGTTGGAGCAAGCATTTCACCAGGGGAAGTACATCGCTGCCATAAGTAAGAAGCTCAAAGGACCTGCTGCTGCTTAGAGCTCTCTCTCAAAAGATGGATTCTATTTATATATTCTTGATTCTTTGTTTCTACAATTTGGCATTTTGTGTTTTCTCGTTTTTGGAATTATCCAACAATGAAATGAGTTATAGCTTCAGTTCACAGCAATAAAACACCATTGCTTTGAATTGTATGTGTTTATGTCAATGGATCAATGGGTCTTTCTATGTTGACGGAATTAATCAAACAAATGAATTGACTATGGTATTTCTAAGGCCAATTAATTGAAATTATCAGCCCAACATATCTTTAGTAGGTTACTGACTGTGGAAAATTATCTTGTAATAGGTTAAGGCCTTCTCGCTAATGCATATGATGATTGTCTCTTAATCCGACTTTCTAAATCTATATGAGAAGATTTATAATAAACATCCTTACGTTCTTATACGAAGTTGCTTCACTTGATGTTATCGTTTCGACCGTAAGGTAGAATAGTAATACACATTGTAACATTGCACAACATAATTAAACTGTATCAAACTTAACGGACAAAAAAAATCAGGCATTAATTTTTAATTTGTTTCAATAAAAAAACAGTCTTCTTCGCATGTATTATAAATGAATGACAGTTACATATCATCGCATGTTAACCAAACATAAAACCACACCATACATGCCTTTACTCTACCCACAGGATTAGGCTAAGGCATTTATATTTTTGTTAATAAACAACTTTAGCTACTGCTTTATTATTAACAGATTAAAATAACGTTTTGTGGATTGGTCATAGAACATATTATATATATGAGCTAAGCTAGGGAGAAAACGAGGGGACCAAACTAGTATTAGAGCTTAAAGTAGTCGAACATGGGGGATCAAATTGGTTTATTCGATTTGAAGTACGACTTAGATGATAAGTATAATTTTGTCTACTAATTCAAAGACATATAAAACAAAATAATTGAAACTTAAAGAGGGGTTACTTAAACTGGACAAATATTATAACATATCCGAACAATCCATGAAAGTAATGCAAAAAAGAATAACAGATACAAAATAAACTAAAATTAACCCCAGATACAATAATAATGAACCTCACATAATAATTCCAGCGGTGTATGAAAGAGTGACAACACTATGTTTGGTACAAGTTGTTGCATGTGCAAGAACCGGAAATTAAGTAGTATTGCTTTTGATGATGATAATTTTATTTATCTATGTGACTTTGTTTATTCTTGAGATTTTCTAATTATTCATTTTGTAATTTAATAAGATGTTCTAAACTTCAAATTATTTTTTTTGTAAATTAGGTTTCAAACTCTAAAGTTTATTAACATAAATTAGCAAATAGTATAGTGGCAATCATGGTTTAAAAGTGCATAGTTAATGGAACCAAACACAAAAACTTTAGATAAATATTACAGTGATGAGAAGATATACATATGATCAAATGTGATTTCTGACTTCGACTTTGGAAGATAAATGTACTGATATAAATTGGCATATCAATAGTTAGGACCAAACAAAAGTCTAAATGATGGTATCCTAAAGTAATCGAACTAATTGATTCTCATGTGGGTCATGTACTAGTAGAAAGAATTGACTACATAATTAAATAGTATGACAAAATCATAGTGATTGGTGATTTCTACCATTCCATTTGTTAACATAACATTTTTTAACCATCATAGTTCATGTAAGTTGGCATATTTAAATATCTAATAAATATCATGTGATTGGTCGTGGACTAACAAATTGGTTCGATAAAATTAGGACAAGAAAAGAAGATGTATATGATGGTTTCTCAAAAAACAATGGGCTTGAGACACAAAAACATTGCATAACGCGTTATGCATGTATACTATATTGTCTCAATTTCAAACAACCCATGATGAACTTGTTTAATTATAGTTTTACGTCTTATACATAATATTATATGTTCAAGTCACCGTCCCAATGTAGCAACAAAAATCACTAACATGGGGCATGTTTACTGTTTCATTATTAATCTACTAAACATATATACTATCATTGTTGTCGTCTCAAAGAGGTACAAACCAGCATATTCTATTTTATTGTGGTCAACAAATAATAGACTATTAGACTGTGGTTACCGGTCATTGCAGAGAATTTCATTAATGAGAATTTCATTAAGAGGGAAATAAACCAAAAGGTTTGTATTGAAGATCTGTATCCTTTTTGTATTCTTAAAAATGTTTCAACGTTGGAGATTGGAATTGAAGAACTCATTTACTTCAACAGTAAAAATGGGCCAAGATCTTCAATCTATACGGCCCATGATGTAAGCTCGAAAGAAGACCAGAGTAATGTCTACCACGCGTGCGGGGGTGTTTTAAGGGACCCGGTTAAAGTCAACGTACTTTTCGTCGCACGTGTCCATGTCTCTGAGCAAATAAGTCCAACGGTGACCTCCCAAATCCTACACCGACTTCTTGCCTGCGCCATCTCAAACTCTCCCTAGTATCCCAAAGAAACTGTATTATTATTTTAATCCATAACAAATTATTAACATTAGCATTGCTAGTTATGTTTTTTGTGTTCCATTAGTGTGAATATAAGCATTCGAGTATTATAATTACGCAAATGTGTTTCTTGGGTTAATCGTCTCCGATCCACCTCACAAGTATGGACATACAAATGGAACATCACAACTATAGGATAAGTTTTGCTTTATAAAATAAAATGTGTATGTTATACATATCCCCACAGTTACTAATCTACGTCCTTAATATCAAATACTCTGCTAAGATTATAAGACGATAAGAACAAAAAAGACAGTATCACGTGAACAACCGTGTGTTCAACTGTTTATCGGCTCTGGTCGGTGGGTACTAGTAAACGTAAGTTTGTGGACACTTGTTACGGTCTGAGAGGCTTGTTATGGAGAAAACGGTACACCTGATGATTCTGTATTTGAGTCCCCACAGACAGTAGCAGCGAACTGGTCGGTTCTGCGCGGGTTTGTTGGGTTTAGGTTCCCGTGTCTAAACTTATCTACAGTTTTGTTATCCTCGAGTCAGTTGTTGTTTTTGCCCTGTCCCAACTCCCAAGTAAATACTATACATAATGTAATCTTATGACCGGTCAAAACGTATACAATTTCATAAGGATCAAGAGTTAACAAGTTCGGTTAATTTTTTAAAACATTGACACTTTTGTTTGTAGTTTGTTAAACAAATCTGAATGGATTGGATTCTGATAAAAACTTATAATCCGATGTTAATCAAACCTATTTTGCAATTATTTAGCTCTCATGTTTATAACTTAAAATGGAGCACATGTAAAATTCAGAATCTTTCAAACTAGTGAAATTAAGGACATTTTATTGTCAAAGTCACATTATTTTAGTGTAATTTCAGCACTAAATTTTTTTATCTCCAATTCAACTCCAAAACTCTATTTTAATGTGATTTATCCAAAATTTCTCTAATCCAACACTAAAAATTGCACTATTTTATTGTAAATTTCATACTAAAATATTGTACCTTTTAGTGTTGAACTGAAGAGGTTTTGGGTGAAAAATCACGAAAATATAGTTTTGAAGTTGGGTTAGAAATAGTACAAAGAAAATATTAACAATTTTAATTTACAGTAAATCTCTAACGATATTTGTTTATAATTATCAATCACACAAAAGAATGGGTTGTGACATGAGACAAGGCAACCTTATCTTTAAAGTCAGTGGCTCGGTAATACTCAAGTACAGCTTTTTCATTATTGCAAACATTTAACGGTAAATACTGTCTATAGATATGAGTGTTTAAAGACAAGACACTGCACTTGTAGGTAGAAGTTCAATAATTATTGGGTTTTGGGTCTCCATCAATAAAAAGTCAGACGTCTTCCTTTAACTTCTTGTAAAGGTGTTAAATGTGAGAAGAGTCACACTATCTCAGAACATATTGTCTTATCTTCTTCACTAGTATGGCTTAAATGTTTAATAATATGTGTACGTCCCCACTACTAATAAGTTGTGTTTTCCCATACAATATCATTTGTCTATATAAAAACTAGATGGTTGAGTTAAAAACGAGTTCCCCCACACTCTATCAGTTATGACATATTTTGTTATTTTAAGTAGTATCATTAGTTTAGTGACAACAAACTGTTAAACTAAAGCCCTTTCTCAAAAAAAAAAACAAGAAAATTAATTTGTTAAACTACCTTATGATAAACAATAGTAATCAGTTAGTTTTGAGTTAAAGTTTGAAGATTCATTTGTCCACTATCTTTTTTTTTATTTCTACTTATCCATGATTTTGCTTTCACTTTGTTAAGCAAACTCAACATAAGTAACGGTCACGTTTTTATAATAAAATGTTTTCATCTTTTAACAAAATCAGCTTAGGGAATTGCAATTTAACATTGCTTGGTAAAGGATAAAGGTCCAAACAGTAGGCATTAATAATAGAAAGTTTAGAGGCTCGAGAAAGTGAAACTGAGAGTTGCTTGGAGAAACATGATTTGCCTTTGTACAACTGGTTTTCAAATCCAGAGGGACTATGCATATTAATTAAAAGGATACAAAATAAAACGAACTAAAAATTAGAGAGACAGAAGTTATCAGTTGCACGTCCCAAACTTCTACTTCAAAGAGAGTCTTCACAGTTCCTGGTTCCTTCCTAGTTACTTCCCCACTGCTTGTGACCAGGTACCCATTTAGGACACTTGGGGCTGAAGTAACTATCAACAACTCTTGAATTCAATAGCTCAATAATTGGAGCAAACTTCACGCATCTCGGCGTCTTATACTGATTAATCGAGGCTCCCAAGCTGATGGCATAATCCATTAGCTTATCGAATGTCCCTGGCTCAACAATCTTGATCTCAAGCGGGCCTATGGACTTGTCACTAACCCTTCCTTGTCTATACACTGTGTTGAGTGACTCTTCTAGGGCTAAGCAGCAATCCTCAAAGACTGAAGGAGGGATTGGTGTGTTTCCATCCAAACATAGCTCCCAGAAAAGAACATAGTGGCCAGGGATGGAGCTTGTATCCGCATAGCTCGTGTACTCAGAGACTGATGCATCGAATGGGACGAGGTGTGTCACTGCGTTCTTCACTGCATTCTGAAGCTCAACCTCGTCGGTCTTGTCGGAATCTATGCTCAAGACCACATTCTTGCGGCATATGAAACTGAATTGAGGTGCCTTGTTCTTGAAGCCAGTCACTTTCAATAAATCACCAACTCTGTATCTACAAAGCCCTGCAACAACATCACAAAGCACACAAACTTGAATAAGACTAGACCCCTTAATTTATTTATTTTTACTAGAAAATAAGGGTAAATCTCATAAATAGCATGTTTTTACTTCTTTTTTTTTATCACAAAAATCGTTTTTGAAGTTAAAATTTTTCTAAAATAACATTTTAATCAATAAAAACATGAAATTACTCTAAATCATAACCCTAACCACAATCTTTAGCCTTAAAAGATTGATGTTATTTTTTGCTTACCGGCATAAGTTGTGACAACGAGCTCGTACTCCTGGCCAAGCTTAACATCAACTAAATCAACAAGCTCTTGTTGTTCCTTCTCAGTGAGTGCTTTAGGTAGATTGATGGAGTTAGTAACACCTGTGTTTCTATGAACAGGCAGAAACTCAAAATAAGCCATGGTTGGTATGAGCGTGTAAGACACCTCGCTAGGTTTGCAGAGTGGCCTTAAGTTCACACCAAAGTAACACTCCGAAGAAGCATACATCGTACAGACAAGAGGCAAGCCATTGCTGTAGTAATCCAAAGTTGGAATGTATTGAGACATTGTCCCGGTCACAATCACATCCACATACTTTGTGTTAGGCCAAAGCCTAGTGATGATCCCTTGCCAAGATTTCTTTTTGCACTCTGACTCCACGAACTCCGCGAGTTTGGGACTCGGTTTAAGGATCTTGGAGACCGCTTCACGCACTGAAGGATCGATTATAGAGGAACTTAGAGTACCGGTTCGAATGTCACGGACAAACTCGGTCCAATGCTTCTCAAGAAACTTGATAGCTCTGATGAAACCAGAGGCAAAGACAGCGCCTACTCGGAGAACCTCATGGTGTTGGCATAAACCACAGAGCATCTGAGAGTACATGCTCTGGTAAGAGTCAGGGCAAAGGATGGTCTCGTTGGGGCTTGTGTAGTTGGTGTAAGGGTCAAATGGTCTTTCTTTGAAATGGGAAGATTTGTAGTAACTGGTTAAGACAGGACGAGCAGGGAGACCACCTGGTGTCTTTGACTCGGATTTGATGAACAAGAAATACATTCCTTTGCCTTTGTCGAGACCAGGAACAAACTGGCTCATCACTGGCATCAAGAAACTGTAGAGAAATGATCTTCTGTCTAATTCTTCTTCGATTGTTGGCATTAGCTTCCTCTCCCCACCAGATGTCCCAGAGCTGCCAAAGATCATAATAAAAAGCCTTATTAGACTATTTATTGTTGGATAAAAAAAATCATGAGAAAGATGAAAAAGTATCCATCTTTTTGGGTTTAGCATGCACCCATTACCGGAAAACAATGTTTGGATCTTTCAGTTTTACCCAAAATAAACATGAAAAAGAGATAAAAACAGAGTATCTACCAAAAACACAAGCAAAAACAGAGCATTGACTAAAAACACAAGCAAAAACAGAGTATCGACCAAAAACACAAGCAAAAACAGAGCATTGACTAAAAACACAAGCAAAAACAGAGCATTGAGTAAAAACACAAGCAAAAACAGAGTATTAACTAAAAACACAAGCAAAAACAGAGCATCGACCAAAAACACAAGCAAAAACAGAGCATTGACTCAAAACACAAGCAAAAACAGAGCATCGACCAAAAAAATAAGCAAAAAAAAAACAGAGCAAGAAGAGAATGTTAGAGACGAACCTGGTGAGGAACTCGGAGATGGGCTTTGAAGAGAGGATTAGGGATTTATCACCATTAGCGATCCTGTTGATCTCAGGCTGGATATCCTCGTACGTTATAACCGGCATCACTTTTTTGAAGGTCTCTCGGTCTGTGCGACCGTCGAGGTCATGTCGCCTGAGATACTCAACGTCAGCATTACGGGTCAAGATCTCCTCCAAGACCCGTCTCTGGACTTGGTCGGCGTTAGAGGTCAGCTCCTCGATTAACTGAAGCTTCCTCTTGTTCTTTTCGTCGAGGGTCAGATCAACGTCTAAAGAATCATTTCTCGGTGCTTCAGGCATGGTTTGGTTTTCAGAGATGGATCGTAAATGAGAAAATATATTGATAATTGTATAAGCTTGTTATGGTTTGTAAGAGCTTTTAGTGTGTTGTGAGGAAGAAGGAAAGAGAAGAGTCCATATATATAGAGGAGAATGAGAGGAAGGTGAAACCAGGCATGGACGTAAGAGGAAGATGAAGGGTATAATGGTCATTTACAAACTTGTTAATCCGTGAATTAGGTGAACGCTTACTGATCTTTGCTTTTAACTGCACTAATTAATTTGATTCTCTTTTATGTTATGACATAAAGGAGAATATGACTCTCTCTCTTTTTTTCCGTAACCCGTACTTGATGAATAAAGGACATCTATCACTATATAATTAGTCGTTTAGTAATCTCCAGTTCATATTATTTTTTTGTAGTATGGAGATATTTTCTTGTTGTTCTTCTTCTTTTTTTTGCGTTTTTGAACAAAAATAATATATACACGTTTGTTATAGAATTCCATGTGGAGATTTCGACTTGGACATATAATTGAGTTCAATGAGTTGACTTGGTATATAATTGTAAGGATAATGGACCGACCACCAGTACGTTTGCATTGTCTTTAAGAATTTATTTCATTTTACAAATTATGGTTTTTATGAAAAAGGGGGAAAATACTACAACGTACTAGAACCAAACAAATCTTCAACCAGATGCGCAATGACCTAACTATAATATAAACGGATTAGTTTTCTGTGTTTTGATATGTTCAGTCTTCTTTAATTTAATATAAATTTTTATTTAAAAAAATTAATTTAAAAAAAAAATAACATCGAATACTATGAGAGAGTATGATTATTGAGTTTATATCTATTATATTTGCATTGTAATTGGTATGTGACAACATATTATCCGAGACATTTGGCTCAGATTATGCGGATTAAGTAAGTTGTAATACAGTAATGCAAATGAAGATTAGGTTAGATAGTTAATACATAAAAAGATGGTTTTATCAAATACTGAGTCTAATATATTTTGACGACTAATATATATATATTTATATTAAATTATAAGAAACTCAAGTTTTCAAATAGTTTTAGACTGGATTTTTCAAAATGTTTATACTCATAATATTAATACTATAGATATCTTGAGGACTCCTCTGTAAAACCCTCAATTGTTTTTTGACATCACTCTGTAAAACCCTCAATAAGGGTGTTCTAAGAACATCTTAAATAGAGAATTATATTATTTGCTAAAAAAATTATATTCATACCTATGAAAATCTTAAAATACATATATATATATATATATATATATATATATATAATTACGAAATTCTTAAAATTATGTATTTGAGATACTTCCATTATATAATTTTTAAATTCACACAATTATATATATATTAAGATTTCATTATTGATATATTCAGTTCACATAAAAAAAACTTCAATGAGGATGCTATAACATACTCAAATCACTCACCACACCAGTAGACCTAATGCTCAAATCATTCATAAATCATGTACAAAACAAATATTAAATCCATGAACTAACTATCTCAATCACTACAATAAAAAAATAAAAAAGCATATTAAAATTAGGGTTCATCCATACAACAGGGGCACGGATTTATACCCGGTTGACCAGCTCTCTGCCGGCAATATCCAGTTAATCCGCAGTAATCTCGTACGCGTTGTCCAACAAATCACCGGCAACCAACTTTAAACCCTTTTTAATACCCTAAGCTAACAACAAAACTTAAACCCATCTCTCAAAAACGGCGTTCATTAGGAATTTCTCACGGTAATATTTGTGGAATGTATGTATCACTGCGAGAAGGAAGTCAAGAGGGGGACCAGACAGCTGGACTCTACAGTTGATAAGTTGACACGTGTACGGGATTACTACTGTTCTACTACTTTGGTGCCTTCACGTTGTTTTTTTGAACCGATTTTTTTCTTTTAATTTGCGGGATTGAATTGTTTTGTTCATTATCCATGTAAATCAAATGAGTATATACCAATATATTTGTTGGGTGTGAACGCCTTTCTTTTGGAAATTTCAGTTTCTTTCTCTTTTATATATTTGAAACACAATCAACGTGAAGCTTTATATGCCTCACAACAATAATATAACATTATTAATTAAAAACTAATTCATCATTATTAAGTGTCTAGATGATGTGAAATTATATTAGATGTTTTCAAATCAAATCAAAAAGTTAGAAATAGATGTTAGCATATCTTACCTATATATAGAACATAAATATGTCAAGTATATACATTTCTTTTGCTTTTCAACTATATAGTTATCTTTGACAAAAACTATATATATTGTTTATCGTCGGAATTTTAATTTTTTTCGTTAATTAGTGTTTTGTTTTTGAATGTTCTATTATATATATATATATATATATATTGTAATATTCTAAAGAACTGTCACCAGCAATTGAGTGTACAAAAGAATAAAGTTGACCTGATTAATTTAAAAGTCCCCAGAAGTACGATGTGTTTTGGTGAAATCTCAGTATCCAACCAAACAATGGTATTAGATACTTTAACGGTCGATATATGACTATACATGCTTAGTCAAACTTGTATCACACAAAAACTAACCGACCAAGTGAAAAAGAGAAAAATATAATCGTTGATATATGCTCTAATCGGATAGGGTTTAAAACTTGGTGCCTAACAAATAAACACGTACGACAGACACATAGCGTAACAATCTTAGTTTCTTCTTTGTATTCAGAAGTCAAATACTTTGGTAAGTTGATTGACTATATAGTACGTAGTGTGTATCTATCAATTAATATATAAAGACTCGAAGTTTCGTACTTTATATTGCTTTTGCCTCCCAATATCTGTGTTCAGCGGGAATTTGATTAACAAGTATCAAAACATTCTTTAGCTTTACGACATTTCTAAAAGCGATTTAAATATAGTTTATTAATTTCATTCTAAATCTTGATTAGACATTTGTAAAAACCCACAAAGTCACCATTTCAAAATACCGAAACATAGGTTAGAAAGTATTCTCACATTCAGTCAGTTTTACAGCAATGCAGACATTTTTCACCAGCTTTAAACTCGTAGTTTTCCTTCTTCTTTTTGGTGTGTGACGTTGGATATTTAAGTGTTAGGTTTTACAGAAAACCTAAGTGATTTCGTATGTGGACGACACTATACCAAAGTTCAATGTCTAAGTGATTAATTAGAACGGCTAACTCTGATGAATAATGACACTTTCGTGGTCATCTAGATGATTTATGGTTCTCTTTTCTTGTAACGTTTTTTTTTTTTGGTTTTACACGTAATATCCCAACATGTTCACCCACCGCAAAACAGGTGTGTGACCAGGTGTCCTAGGAATGCATATATGTGTAATATTTAAACTTCAAGAAAGTGTGAGTTTTTGGAATTTGGGTCTTCTAAAAGAGTTCCGTACTCTCACACTCTTTGGCAGTTTTTGTTTTGCTAATTAATATACGGAAGGTTGTGGCGCAGGCGGGAGACACCGACAGTCAATAACACGTTGAGTTCCCGAAATTATATGAAGAAGTTTTTTTCTTTTTACCATGTCTCATATTTCTTCTTCTTGAACTAATTTAATCCAAGAGAGCTTTCTTCCACGTACCTTATCATCTGAATTACCAACTTTCGTAAACCGTAAGTAAAATATCTTATCAACATCATTCTTTACTCGTACATCCATTGAAAAATGAAAGCATGGTATATTTACCTTTATCAAAAAAAAAGCCTGGTATATACTACATAAAATATTATTACGAATGACCAAGCATATATTTGGTTTAACAATATATAATTGTCTGATGTTTCGCATGCACCAGCTGAAAAGGAACGAAAACGGATAACTGAACATGGTAGTTAATATCATGATGTCGACATTAACTTAAATCATGATGTAAAAAAAAAAATTCATTGAATAGAACAGCATTTTTTTAAAATCATAGTGTTACATACGTGCATGTGTTTCGTTGAATCTTGAAGATGACTTGCTTTAATTGTTTGAAATGAAATTATTAAATGGTGTTGTTAATACCGAAGTACATTTTATTATGTAAACCAGTAATGTGGTCCCTGGCTTCTTTGTACTAATTATCTTATTTTTCTTAAACATAAAATACTATAGCTAAAAACCTGTTGTTGCCTAATAATGCCGTTCTAGTATAAGTTTGTGTACACATTGTAAATCAACATTTTTATTATTTGTAATTTTTTTTAATCAAGTTCATTATACTGTTTTAAGTTGTCGCAAACCCAGGGCACCCCAAAATAAACGTCGGGCGGAAGCCCATAGTCTAAGTGGCAAACCATGCAGACTAGATGAGCACCGCAGTAAGTATGGATTTATAATAATTTGTCTTTTATTCATGGTTAGTTCTACTAATGATGACCTTTAATTGAAAAATATATTACAGTCAAGATGTTTAACTGAAATACAATTAACGAGGAGATGAACAAACAGTCTGTTTACTAACAGATTAACAACTGATCACCTATGATATTTGGTTTACAGCCTCTTCTTTTCTAGATATACTGGTTTGTTACTTCATAACAGAACCAGCTGTTTATTGGACTAGCTAAGGTTTACGCTATAAATTAAAATACAAGGTATCAGTTACTATTTACTAATAGAGAAAACTCGCTTCATCATGGTTTAAAACATGTGTAAGATTAACGTGTGCGGTGCAAACAACATAAGTGGAAAAGGAGTGAACTAATTTTGGATTTATTTTGTGTATATAATTTTTACGTGAGGTTTAGATTGGTAGAGCACACTATTATTTTGGTAAATCACACATTTTAATTACTGTAAAACCGTTTAGTTTGTTTGACCATATTGTATTTGTAAGTAACGTGAAGGGAGGATCGTGTCTGACGATTGACAAATTAGTAGCTAAAGTAAGATCAGGGATGTAATGAAGGGATGTAATGAATAAATGGACACTAATGAAAGTTGATTGGTTAGGGAATTAATGGTTTAATGACACAACATGAAAAGTGGCTA